TTTGATACACTTAGATACACAAATACTTCCCATTGTGTTAGAGGTGCCTACAGTATTCAGTACAGTAACGTGCCGTACAGGTTTGTGGCCTAGGAGCAATAGGCCAGACCATACTGCTTGGGTGTGTGGTGGGTTATGCCATCTAGTGTGTAAGCACACTCTGATTACACAATGAAATCGCCTAATGATCCATTTCTCAGAACAGATCCCATCATTAGACAATGCGTGACTATTTCATTGTTATGATGAGACTGTTCAGAGTATAGAAAGGCATTTTTTCTTTAAAAAGTTTTTAAACGAATTTATCTTTCTTTTTCACCTGATCATTTGGGAGGTCATCTCATAACAGTATGTGTAGCCTGACCTCGTTCCTCTTAATAGCTATGTGATATCCCGTGGTAAGGACTTTAGAAAAATATTTTCAGCCAGTTCCATGACTGGGTTTATGTTAGGTTTTAGCTGATAGCAGCAGTGTGCTACAGTGAGCTCCCTGATGTGAATAGATGGCCCCAACTTATGAGGTTGGACTTCGGGGTTTTTTTTTTTACTGTACAATGGTAAGAAAATGATACACATTCAGTGGAAACCATACTTCGAGCACCTCTGCAACCATTCTGTTTCTCATTTGTCAGTGCAATCAGTAAATTACATGAGAAATTCAACACTATTATAAAGTAGGTTTTGTGTTAGATTTTGCCCAGCTGTAGGGTAATGTTCTAAGCACCCTTGAGGTAGACTAGGTGAAGCTGTGATTGTTCGCAGGTCATTTAGATGTATTTAAATGCACTTTCAACTTAAGATATTTTCAACTTGGGGTGGGTTCATAAGCCCACCGTAAGTGAGGGTGCATCTGTGTATGTATCATGGTATCCTTCAGCAAATACAGTCTTAGCACAATTGCTGCTGAGATGTGGGCACTTAAAAATTGCATAGATGTTGCCAAGTTGAAGGCTGAGACCGTTCGTCTTTGCATCTCGGAACCTAGCCAAAGTAGTTGCTTGACAGGTGGACTTGTATTCTGATACAAATGCTGAGTGCTCCACTTTGGAACGTGGGAGAATTTAGAGAAGGCAAAGGGAAATTGCACAAGGTCTTAAAAGTGCAACAGCCGTAGTCTTTTTTAAAAGAAGAATCCCAAATCTGCCACCGTTTCTCCTATTCTTTTTCAGAAGCGGCACCATGTACTGCAGACGGCTCATCCCTCCCCGTTGTCAGTGTACAGAGGCTTCTTCGGATGTAGACATTTCTCGAAGACCAATGAGCTGCTGCAGAAGTCCGGCAAGAAGCCCATTGACTGGAAAGAGCTATGATCCTCACCTGTGGGGTGGTCTGTCTCCATTGGTGGTTTCTGAGAAGCTGCTGTTGACGTATTTGTCAGTTACAAAGCTGAATTGAAAATTTCCCTAATTTAAAACGCTGCATAAGGGGGAAAAGCTTCCAGAAAGCTGCCATGGCAGCTTTATCCATCCA